ATACATGCTAACCTGTTGTCATAACTGCTCTGTGAAGAGAATTTTTTGTATTGTTTTTTCTTAATGACCATTGATAGTAATGGGAATGGAGAACTTATTCCCAGACTGCCATTTTAAACTCAACATCAGGTGCAGCTTTTTACAAACAACATTGTTTGTGAAGATCAAGTTTTTCATGTTTGTTTTAGGGAAAAAAAAAGTTTAGTTGGGTACTGGTGGTAATAATTCTGAAAGCATTTTCCATGCCGTATTTTCACATAATGCTGGGAACTCGTAACTTTTAACAAATCTATGCAGTTTTTTAGTTTGAAACTTGTTGTGTTTTCTGCGGTGTGGTTGTGCTTCTGCATCATTTGAAACAGATGAAGGTTTTTCTTCACAAGGTCTAACGTGGCTGAGGTTCCAGTACTCGGTTGACTTGTAGCTGCGGGGGATGAGGGGTGTGTGTTTATTGTTATTCCTAGTTGTGTATTATTTTCTAATGTGGTCTGAGCACGTTGTTAATGTACATTAATGTCCTGCCATTCCAGGTGATTCAAAGGAGGTGCAGAAATCGGGGCATGACCTGCCAACCAAAAGAGAAAGCATCTAACTAATGACTGGTTAACCAATAGTGGGGTTTGGGCTGTTTGTTTTTTTTTTTTTTCTGCTCTCCTTCCTTGTTGGATCTTCCTTCTTAACTGTGTTGGTACCAATTTATTAGATAGCCAGTGTAAAGTATGGTCTGTACCTTTTCCATAGAAATCTAATCCTGCAGTACGGTCGCTTCCTCCCCCATCCCTTTCCTGGCATCCAAAAAGGTTAATAATTGCTTTAATATATTCATGTGTACAGCAGGGCACAACACAGAAAATCTAGGGGAAAAGGAAATGGTTTAATGCGATTTTAATTAAATATACAGTAACCTGGGAAAATCCAAATCCAGTGATGGTGCTTTTTCATGCTTAGTCCTTGTGTTTGTAACGTTACTTTCTCTTTAATATACTGGGTTTGTCTATCAAGATTTTGGACCGAGTACTGCTCAGGTGTCAGCAGAACTCCCTCCTGCTCAAGGAGAGCCACCTAGAGCTGGTTGCCCAGGATCATGTCCAGACAGCTTTTAAACATCTCCAAGGGTGGAGATGCCACAACCACCCTGGACAACCCTTGCCATTGCTCAGTCATCCTCATGGTAAAAAAAGTGTTTCCTGATGTTCACTCAGCATCTCCTGTGTTTCAGTTTGTGCCTGTTGCCTCTGGTCCTGTCACTGGGCACCCCTGGAGAGGGCCTGGCTCAGTCTTCTTTGCAACCTCCCTTCAGGTATTTATAGATGTTAAGATCCTGCCTGTGCCTTCTCCGGGCTAAATGGTCCCAGCTTTCTCAGCCTTTCCATGTAGGAGAGGTGCTCCAGTCCCTTGATCATCTTCGTGGCCCTTCACTGGGCTCTCTCCAGTATGTCCATGTGTTTCTTGTACTGATGAGCCCGGAACTGGACACAGGACTCCAGGGTGGCCTCACTGGTGCTGAGCAGAGGGGAAAGATCTCCTCCCTTGACCTGCTGGCAATCCTTTGCCTAATGCAACCCAGGATACCAGTAGCTTTCTTTGCTGCAAGGGCACATCACTGGCTTGTGTTCAATGTGGTGTCTATCGGGATCCTCAAGTTCTCTTCTGCCAAGCTTCTTTCCAGCTGGGAGGCCCCCAGCATATACTAGTGTGTGGGATTGTTCCTTGCCAGGTGCAGGACTTTGCACCTCTCCCTGCTGAGTTTCCTGTCAACCCGTTTCTCCAGCCTTTCAAGTTTGTGCTGGATGGCAGTCTGCCCATCTGGCCTGTCAAACACTCCTTCCAGTTTTGTCATCTGCGAACTTGCTGAGGGTGTGCTCTGCCCTGTCATCCAGATCACTAATGAAGATGTTAAACAGGACTGGACCCAGTATGGACTACTGGAGTGCACTGTGAGTTACTGGCCTCCAACTAGACTTTGCACTGCTGATGACCATTCAGCCGGTTTTTGCTCCACCTCACTGTCTGCTCATCCAGCCCCTGCATCAACGGCTTGTCCATGAGGATTTTATGGGAGACAGTATTGCAGGCCTTACTCTGAAGTCCAGGTAGACACTATCCACTGCTCTCTATGAGGCCGGTTATTTCGTAGTAGTTTATGAAGTTTGTCAAGTATGTCTTCCCCTTGGTGAAGCCATGCTGAATACTCTTGATTTTCTTGTCCTTCATGTGCTTGGAAGTGGTTTCCAGGATGAGATGCTCTGTGACCTTCCCAGGGATCATGGTGAGCCTGACAGGCCTGTAGTTCCCAAGGTCCTTCTTGCCCTTCTTGAAGTAGCGTTTGCTTTCCTCCAGTCTTCAATCACTTCTCCCAGTTGCCATAATTGATGAAAGATACCAGAAGTGGTCTTGCAATAACATCTGCCAGCTCTGTCAGCACCCATGAGTGCAGCCCCTCAGGGCTCATAGGCTTATATCCCGTTTGCTTATCCTAATTTTCCTTGCACCAGCCTTTCCCCCTGCTCTGAGGCCTGGGACTCCTGAAGGCCGGTCTTGCTAGTAAAGACTGAGGTAAAGGTGGAATTTGGTACCTCAGGCTTTTCCATGCCCTGTGTAACCAGGTCCCCCATCCCATTCAGCAGTGAGCCCATGTTTACCCTAGTCTTCCTTTTGTCACCTGTGGACTTACAGGCTTCTTGTCTTTGACATTCTGGCCAAATCCAATTCCCTTTGAGCTATAGCTTTCCTAGCTTTGTCTCTGGATGCTTGGACTGTATTTTTATATTCCTCCCAGGTTACCCAGCCTTACCTCCATCCTCTGTGGGCTTCCCTTTTGTGTCCTGAGTTTGGGCAGGAGCTCCTTGCTCATCCAGTCAGGCCTCCTGACATTTTTGCCTGACTTCCTATTCATTGGGATGGAAATCTCTTGAGCTTGGAGGAACTGATCCTTGAATACAAAGCAACTGTTTTGGACCCCTCTTCCCTCCAAGGCCTTATCCCATGGGGCTCTTCTGAGCAGTTCTTGAAAAGGCCAGATCTGTTCTCCTGAAGTCCAGGGTTGTGAACTTGCTTGCCACCCTCGTCACTGCCCTCAGGATCCTGAACTCTACCATCTCATGTTCACTGCAGCCAAGGCTGTGTTTTGACCTTCACGCCCCCAGCGAGCCCCTCCTGCTTGGTGCACGTGAAGTCCAGAGCACCTCTCCTCGTTGGCTCCTTGAATTACCTGGGAGGAGGAAGTTGTTGTCAAAGCACTACAGGACCCTCCAGGATTGCTTACGTCGTTTTGGGTGGTCCTTCCAGCAGATACCGGGGTGGCGTAAGTCCCCTATGAAGATCAGGGCCTGCAAATGTGAGGCTGCTCCTGTCTGTCTGTGGAGAGCCTCATCTGCTCATTCTGGCTGTTTGGGTGGTCTGTAGCAGACACCCACTGCAGCGTTGCTTTTACCTGTCATCTCTTTAATCCTCACGCAGGAGCTCTCGGCTGCTCCTCGTCCGTCCCCAGGCAAAGCTCCGCACGCTCCAGCTGCGCTCTCACATAAAAGGAATAGATTTTTGGTTTTGTTAACTGCTATTTTTATATAGATGGGTTTTAGGTTGCTGTGGGGAAAATGGGACAGTCCCAGTATAAAACACAGCTTCATAAAAATCAAACTTACTAATTCTGTGCAAGCACTTTTTTTTGTGAGTCAGTCCTTTTTCTTGTTGTTTTTTTTTCCTTTGTGTATTACTCTTTTTTTTTTTTTTTTTCCCTGAGCTCTAGGAATTATTCTTCACTACTGCCAGTGCAAGAATAATTTCAAGGTAGAACAAATTACATATTACAGAAAGAATAGATTGATGATAGCCTACTAGTCTTCCGAACTGTTAAGTACTTGAGAAACTTTAAAAATATGTATGCAGGAGTATCTTTTGATTTATTTTGATCAGCTGCTTTTTTTAATCAGCTGTTCCTGTTTAAAAACTGCTTAACTGCCATTACCAAGTGTCAAGTAATATTTTTATATATTAAAAAAAAATTTTGCTTTTGTGTTCAGTTTGATACGCTTTTCACGTATTTTGTAAGCGTTTGTGCAGCCAGCTTTTCTGACTATTTTGTTTATTTTCTGTGTCATGTGTTTTTATTGATTAGGGTTATTGTATGTGTTATTGCATACAAGTGGATGATCTTTGCTTGACTATAAAGTCTTAATTCCTTTAAAAATTTTATTCTAATATCTTTATTAGTCCTTTCAGTAGTCTGTGAAAGGAAACCTGGGCAATAGCACAGTTTCTTTCAATTGTCTTCCCCATGGTATAAAAATATGAACTAAGTTACTCAACTTAAATGCATTTAGGGGAAATTTCTTATCAAATATTCCAGTGTTTTGTCTTGGCATAAAAAGCATCCCAGAAATGTCAAGTTGTAGTGGCGAATAGTTTCTAGAGAGGAAAGGACCATTGTTAGCTTAGTGGGGTTTCCATAGGTGTTTCCATGCAGGCAAACCTGCTTTGACTCACTGAATGTTTTTGTGTAGAATTATAACAGTAACTATAATGTTTTAGTAATTAAGATACTGATGAGTTGTGTAGAAAGTGTGACTCCAGTAGAGGCCTGCGCACACAGGAGTAGACATCCGGAAAGGAGGTGGAAGAAGCTTCATAGAGATCTAAAGTCTGAACTTCCACGAAAACTGCCATTTGTATCTGCTATAAACTTTTCCGAGTAATGCTCTCTAACAAAGTCTTTCAAAGAATCCTTTGAAAAGTGTGAAGGTGCAGCTCTGTACCAGTTAGATAAGAAAGAAGAATTGCCCTAGACTGATTTGTACTGTGATTGACAGTGACTGCTTGCAGGCCTTCTTGCTGTATTACACATTTTTAACTCTGATCAGAATGTCTTGCTGTTTAGATGACAGTATCTCTCTCGTAAAATTCCCTGTGGCAAAAATTAACTTTTACTTTAGGAGATTCCCGGCAATCCAAAAATGATGTATTGGCTATTTATTCAGTGTGTTTTTGTTTCATTTTGCCAGGTACCAAGTGGAAGATGAGTCCTCTCATTTGGATGAAATGCCACTAATGATGTCAGAAGAAGGCTTTGAAAATGATGAGAGCGATTACCATACTCTGCCAAGAGCCAGAATTTCTCAGAGAAGAAGAGGCTTGGAATGGTTTATCTGTGGTGGCTGGAAGTTCCTTTGCACTAGGTCTGTGGCATGCTAGTACTTTTTATTCAACTATTAAATGAGTTAACTAGTAACTGTGTATTGTGTGGTACCTGCCGTGTGTGAGAACACAATAATTTGCTTGTCGTGCATCTGTTGACTGCTTTGCCTGAGTTTCCCTTACGAGGGTGTTACCAGCTGATAATAAAAAACATTCTGAAGAGCTGCTGCTGTACTTCTCCTGCCTGCTTTGCTGACTTGCAAGAAAGAGGGAGGCTTTTAAGAGAGAGCGTGTACTAAACTTGCACTGGTCTGAGGTCCATATGAGCCTCGTCCTCACTTCTACTCAAAACCACATCTAGGTAGAGGGGTTAAAACTTGCTTTTGCTTTGGAGGGCATTAGTGTGTGAAGTTGACAATGTATAAATTTTATTGATGTTGCTGAAAAGAAAAAGCAAATTCGTTAACTACTGATTAATTAACACTTCAGCTGTAAAGGTTAAAGAATCCATGTGACTGGTGGCATTGGAATGAATCACAGCTGGAATTAGCTCTTGTGATTTGGTTCTTATTTGGAAACCTTTTGTGCTAAACTCTGCTGTGTGCAGTTGCCTTGGAATAGTAACTTTCTAATGAATTGCCAGCAAACTTCTAAATACAGAGATTGCCGTTGGGATGAACCATAGGGGTTGTCTTGAACAATAAAATCTGAGAATCAGGTGAAGCGAGTGGAGTGTTTTCAGTGAACTGAAATGATGAATGCTTTTTTTTTTTGACAGATGATTTTAGAGTTGATTTAGGTAGAAGTCTTCACAGGTGATTTTCATGGCACTTAAACTCTGAGGCCTGTTACTGTTTTACCTAAGCAAAGCTGTATTTGTGCACGTTTAGTTTTGATGATTTTTCTTACACAACTTTGCTATTTGCAGAAAAATATAGTCTGTGTTGATTTATTTTTTCCTATAATGATTTAACAAAACCTTATGAATTATTAGTTTCATTATAGGGAATTAGTGTTTGGGAAGCAGTAGGAAGGAAGGTAGCAGGGTTTATGGAAGCAGCGTTTGTATATGTAAATGATTTTTGAAAGCAATGTTTCTGTTACAGAGCTACCATTGTAGGTTTTTAAAACCATTTCAAAGTATTTAAAGAGGCTGTTAATCTTTTTAACATATCTTAAAATTGAGATACCTTTCAAACAGTATTCTTCAGGTAAGTTTCATGAGAACAGGTAGACCAGTTAAGACTGCACCCTGTGGTTGCCCTGACAGAGTTTATGGTGTTTGGATAGAGGCAGGCAACTGCAAGATGAGTTTGTGTTGGAACTAATTAACAATTGTAGAGAATGTCACAAGAACACACATTTTACTACTAGTGTAGGTATGTAAAAGAAAAGCTCTCACTAAGAAAGAGGCCTTAGAGGAGTGTGACTTCTGCTTTGCTGATTTCCTCAACTGAATTTGGTTACAATAAAGTGTCCATTCAGTCCTGTATTTATACCCAGAGGCATTTTAATCACTTTAGTGTCTTCTATGACAGGACATCGTAGCGGATAACTTTAATTTTTCACGGGGAAATAAAATCTAAAAAAAAAAGACGGCCACCAGATCCTAGCAGAAGCTTGAAATTTCAGTAGGATATTAGCAGGCAGAGGATGCTCCCACAAGAAAGGTACAGACATCTGCTTAAATGACATGGGGAAAATTAGCTGGAAGGAAGGTGAATCCCATGGTGTCTCATCTACTGGTCCAGTCAGGCTGGATAAGAACCTCAGCTTGGGTGAGCACTTCTGCGTGAGTATGTACTCGTCGTGGTGACAGGAAGGTTTCTTCTGGGCTGCCAGCACTGTTGAGGCTTTGTTACTGGTAACACAGATTGCACGTGCCTGTCTTAAGTTATTCTTTTTGATGGTTTCTCATTATAATAAAACTTCATGAATTTTTCCTGGGGCCCACAGAATACTAGAGTTTTTGAAATGCCTATTTGCAGCCATGGAGTTTTGTAGGATCTTGCAAAGGATGATACAGGAAACCTGGAGGCTACTGCACTGTCATACCTGCCGTTACTGCTTACACCATGTAGTAGGATGTTACACTGGTTTTATGTGGTATAAAGGATCAGTTTGGGATAGAACTGGGTGTTGATGCCTTCACACTTGAAATGGAGAGGAACATGGGAGAAAACAATTTTCCTGTGCGGTGATGGTGGATTATATGTGTTATGCAAACAACTGCAATTTGTTTCCAGAAGGCAGACTGCGTTTTCTTTTAAGTGTAGCGTGAGGCTAAATACAGCATAGCCGTCTGAAACCCGTTCGGTTGGACAGAATTCAGAATTTAAAATGTCACCCTGTTTTTTTGGAGATTAGTATCTCATACCTGAGTATGGGTGAGGTTGAAATCTCAACTTCCACATCCTGAATTTCCTTTTGTGCCTTAAACGAAACTGTAAATTTTTCATAGCCGTGACAGAAAGATGAATGCAATAGAAGACTGAACGTTTGTCTGGAGCAGAGTTCAGGGGGCCCTGATTTCTTTTGCGTTCTCACTTGAAAGTCTTGTATTTGTGTTCAAAATCACTTTACTTGTGGCAAACAAACAAAATCCCCTGTACCCACTAGGGTTTTTTTTTTCTGTCTTGCATTGTTAGGATTAATCTCATTTTTGTGAGAGGAAGTTTTCCATCTTTTGCTTTGCAGCTTTAGGATTTTATATTCTATAGATTTTTATTGCTACATCACAAACCATTACTGTTCAGTTGAAAAATTTTCACCCTTTTGGCAGGAGCAAATATGGAAGGTTTGGCAAAGTTCACCGCACATGAAAATTGATTTTGTAAAAATCCTTTATTCAGCTTTTAACTTCTGTTTAGACAACAGCCTTGTTACCGGAGCTGAATGGTGTGGACTTTATTTGCAAATCTGCAGCTCTTTAAACAGTTTTTACATTTCCAAGAAAAAATTATAGTTAAATCAAATGTCTTTGATTTTTGAGTGAACCGAAGACTTAATTCAACCAATATAACTTTTAACTTCAGAAAATGCTTATTTCTTGCTTTCATAGCACAGTTAAAAGAAAACTTTGTGATATAGCAGCTGTTTTGTGGCTGTAATCATTTCCCCTTTAACTTACAAATTCTCTTCAAGCTTGTGAAATTATAATGCACATAGATCAATACTCTGGAGTTCTTTGGGCTGGATTGATTTCTTTCTCATGAGATTTACATTCCACTTGTTATCAAAAAACACTTTGTCCCTATGAAAATGGTGCCATTGAATGGCATTTCCATATGAAGTGAAGGGGATATCAAATGCTCGGATTAATTTGGGCTCTAAGATGGCCTGTACGCTTTCAATTAATCTGCAATGCATTTGTTATGCAGAAGCATGGGAAAATGCTGATCTTTTAAGAATGACATGACCACTGTGTTGCTTTTGGCCTGATTACTGAAGCTACCTGTTGAGTACAATAATTACAGTATGTTTTCTTTGCAGAACTAGTTTCTGCTACTTAAAACCTAATAAGGAAAAGCTGACCCTTGCAGACAATATAGAGCTTTTATATTATCTTTCCATTCTGATGAAAATGCTGTTTTGTGAAAGATACTGGCAGTTAAGCTTGTAGGATAAAAGTAATGAAAGGAGAAAATAAAAAAAAAGCCTTTATTATTAGAGCTGCAGAGTCAGTTGAGACTTTTAGTTTAGCTTTTGACTTGGAGAGATACTCTCTATTTATGAAAAAGTTAAGGGTTCTTATTTAACAATTACTCCAGTTCTGGTGGGTTTTTTAATATGGCATCAGTTACTGATATGAAGACTGTAGTTACTGTTCCTTTAGATAAAAAAAGTACATTAGGAAGCAGGTTGGTAAAAAGCCATTTAATAGATATACTTTAAAGTTCTTTTATCAGTCAGTTCATTTCTTCATCTACACAATCTGTTGTATTGATATAGGCCACATGGCTTAGAAAAAAACCTGTCTGTGCATGTGTTGAATTTTCTAGGCAAGGACATTTGAATTAAATGCTGACATCAGTAAACAAGAATGTGATTTTTTTTTTTTAATTGCTGAATCAGTAGCATAAGGTGTGGTTTTACATTAAAGATTTCAGGAAAATCTAAAGTATGTGTGATCATGCTACATCTTATGTTACGTTTTTAGGATATTTGAGGCTCAGACAATGCCATTCTGATTTGTCTTCTGATGTTTGTTTCATGCAAACACAAAATTTAGTGGGTAGAAAAAGCTGACGGAAGGGTCCATGCCCTTGCACAAAACCAGTTTCTGTATTGGAGAAAGCTAATTTTGGAACAGATTAAGTGTGTGTTGGGTGTTGATAATCCGAGTTTCAAAAATATCGGGTAGACATTGTTCTTAATCTGAATTAATGTAAATTGATTAGGATTTCCGAGGCCCTCATGTCCACTTCTTAATCTTTCTGAGATGTAACAGTCATTACTGCTGAGACTGTAAATGGCAGAATCTGACTGATTTTTACTTTCAAGGTAGCAAAACTCCTCTGAACCATTATGGTACTGATTTGGGCCTAACCTGTAATATTTCCATCATCTGAGATTTTCTTGTGTCTGAGAATGTGAGTGTTGTTAGCTCTGTGTCAGTCAAATCCCTTTTATCAAAATACTCAATATCTGTATCACAGTTGTTTCCTAGTCAGACATCATTCTTCTGGCTGTACTTTTTGGCATTTGCTAAACTAATGGTCATTATGGCATCTGTTTCAGCTTCTCTGTTGATCTGTAATGGAAAAAGTAGTTTCAAGAAGGGGAAACTCCGTGGCGATCAAGGCAGTATCAATCAGTTGCTTTAGTCAAATGTTTCATTTTAGCAATAGAAAAGGCCTCAGTGTCTGAGGAAATTACTCTACAGAAGAGACTGTGCCTAATCAAATGTTCAGCCTGTTTACAGTTCTTATTCAAAAACTGATTTAAGGAATGCAAGATCTCAAAGACTGTCAGGAAATTTCTGTCTATGGGCTTGCAGACAGAAGCCATCATGCTTGTTCAGTTTCCCCAGAAAAAATTACTTTCCTTGGAACTTCTCTACTACAGGTTTGTCTTGACTCTTTTTACGATACAGCTAAACTGTCTCTGCATTTGTGTTGTCCTCTCTACCCCCCTGCCCTGGACACTAATATGTTTAAAGCTTTAATTCCATGACCAGTTTTGTCAAGTGTAAATCTAAGCTGGCACTGAGTAGAATCTTTCCACCTTCTGCAGGCATGTAGCCTGTGTCATTTCCACTACTGTTTTATAGAATTTAAAGATCAGGGGTGGATTTAACTGAAAATAGTCCCCCTTTTTAGTCTGTGTCAGTTTACAGCTGGATCAATTTGTGGGTCTAGTTTCCCCATGCTGTTGCATGGGAAATTGTGTCAGCAGAAGGGAAGGGACAGGAATCCCCAGCTTTGTTACAATGAGGGGAAGGTGGTACCAGCCATTTCGGAAGCAGCACGATAGATTTACAACCATTAAACTGATTGTGGAACCATGACATAGAAAGACCGCTGATCATTTTGTTTTAAAGACAAATTTAAGTAATGATCAGGATAACTTAGTTTTTCTGACTTGTATATTACCAAATAACAGGGCTGAATTTTGGAAGTTGAACTAACGTTTTTACAGTAGAATAATTCTTTGTCAGTATTTTAAAGTGGTGGGAAAAGTTGCTGAATGGGCTTATATTTGTACCAAATAAAATGCATGTCTACATAGGATCAAACCAGATTGTTGTTCATCTTGTAGTGAAAGCTTCAGGGTGGAAATCTTAAGATTCCAGCATTTAAAATTGAAGTGTTTTCAATGTCAGCTTGTGAGTATTGGTGTAGTGGCATTTCCATAACAAAGTGAGTGTTGCTTTGAATGATTTTACTATTGTGTAACTTCTAGTTTTCTTTAAAAAGAGCCTGCAACTTCAAATTCCGTTTGTTCTTTGGCAAAATTAGTTTGTAGTAGGCCTGGGATAATGGAGGCTATAGATGAGAGCGTTTTAAGTGGGACTGTGGTGATGTAAGCTAACTATCAGCCTTCCTTCCCTGCATATTTTTATCCCATGATTCTGTGGAAGAACAGAACAAGAAGGACCTTAAGAGGTCGTCAAGTCAATCCCTTGCTTGCACCAGATGAATTACACCTGTCACTTATGTCTGGTCTAACAGTATCTTGGAGACCTGCAGTGGTAGCAGTTCCAGCCTCCTGAAGTGTTTGTTTCTTTGCACCCTAGTCATTAGAAGCATTCCTTCCATGTCTGCCCCTGCTCGTTTATTTGCCACAGTTGAAGTCCGTCATTACTTAACCATGGTGGACCTAGAGAATAATTGTCCCTTTCCTCTTTGCAGCTGTTTCTTAGATACATGAAGCCCTATTAGGTCTGTGCTCAGTCTTCTCTGAGATGTGTTAGTAGAAAAGGATTACAGTCATGGCTTGCGAGCATTAACGCCTTTCGATGCTGACCAGATAGGCAGTAAGAGTCCCTCTCTTATGAGCTGCCATCTACTAACTCTTCCTATTCTGTGTTTGCATAGTTGATTATTTCTGTGTAAACATACTATGTTGTTCTTTTGCCTGTTTATCTGCATTCTGTCTCTTCCAGGTAGGTTTTCCCATCTGTCAAGACAGCTTTGAAGTCAATTCTCCTCTTTGCATGAGCTCCTGTGTCTTCTAGGGATTTGTTGTCTGAAAAATGAAATGTTCAGTAGTCAGTTACCCAGTAAGTTCTAGATAAAGCTTTGCAGGACTTCACTGAAATTATTTGGGGTTTGTAACAAGCTACCCTGTAATTATGGTTTTTCCAACTGTGTCAGTTCCAGGAATATGTTTCTTTACTTTCCGTATGAGAAACATCTTGAGAGCTACGTGTTACTAGAGGCGTAGAATCATTGAATGATCTGGGTTGGAGGGTGCCTTTCAAGATTGCCTAGTCCAACCTCCCTGGCCATGTGCGGGGCCATGTTTCACTACGTCAGGGTGCTCAAAGCCCCAGGAGTCAAGAGAGGACAGGTGCTTTCAAGCAGGAGTGCATCTGGCTCTTCTCAGAGGGGAATTAGTTCCATTTTAGATGTTGCTCTTGACATGTCAGTGTTGGTTGTTACTTTCTGTTTTCTTTCGGGTATGTACAAATGCATACGAATAGGTGGACCATACAGAAATCATCCAGGAGACAGTGCTGAGGTGACTGGACTGTAATTTTCCTCTCCTGTTCTCAGGAAAATCCTTTTGGTTGGTATGAATACAACTTATAAGAGCTTCCTAATGGTTACTTTTTTTTTCTGCATCAAAAATATTGTCAGTATATTCAAAAACCTCACTAGAAAACATGTGCCACTTCCCCTCAGCTTTGCCTGCTGATGTAGCTGAAATCCACTGTGACCAGCTAGGGCTGTGCTTCCCTGCCCTGGGGGCTCGCAGAAGGCCTGTCTGCTCCGTATTCCCGATTCACGTGCCTAAACCAGACTCCCAGCGTGATTAAGGCACCTCCCCCCAAGTATTAACAAATGCAGAGAGGTTCTCCTTTAATGTATGGGATTGTGAAACCAGTACCTACAGCGTATGGCAAAGCCGCTTTTCTTTCCACGCTACCAGTTGTGTCCAAACCACTGTACTCGCCCGCATTGAGAGTCTGCCCTGGTGGACAGTCCTCACAAGCGTCATGTCCCTGCTTGTTGCTTGTTTCAGCTGGTGGTAGCGAACAGCCCGCTGAGCCTGGGCGGCACCGTGCCGTGGCCAGCCTTTCGTTCCTCCTGCCCTGTGACCTTAGCCCATCTCTTTGGCCCTGCCCAACTTGCAGTTGTTCAAAGGTGGCTCAGAACTGCGCTTGTCTGTCCCGTTGCTCATCTCTTCGGGAGATTTGTGAGCTGGCAGGGGTGCTCTGCCTTTCTCCTGTGAACTGAGGTTCACCGTGGCAGATCGTTATGCGATCTGCATTTACATCATTGGTTGGGTTTTTTGGTTGAAAACATTTGGCAGTGTGGCATTAGGTATGATTCCCTGTTATATCTGCTGTAGGCAGTCTGACGGAGGAAACGAAGATTTACAAATTATGTGGTAATTGTAACAACAAAGCTGTTGAAATTTTTCTAACTTTATCTAACAGAAGCTTTATTTCCTCTTCAACCATTAGCATAATTTGAGTATTGGTAATACAAGAGAAAGAGTTTAGCCAAAGGACTGTAGGGTATGATGGATGATTTAATTATTCAGTGGTGGGGGAATTTAGTCACTGCTAATGCAGACTTGTGTTACTAGGATTTTTTTGAACCTTTGTCAGGACAAGGCGTGGTGGAACTTGTCATTATCCTGTTAGGATTTCCTGTAAAGAACGTGCGAGTGTTTATATATGTGTATGTCTGAGTACTGTGTAATTGCCCTAAGTTATTACAAGTCACCATCCTGCTTGCTTACTTGCAAAGATTTTTGAAGTCTGCTTTTCTTAGATATTTGTCTTTAGGGTTCCAGGTTTGGAAATAGTAATCATGTATCGTAAGTTTTTAGTTTTAAAGTAAACAATTGTTTTTCTTTTCAGTTGTTCTGATTGGCTCATAAACATTTGCCGAAGAAAGAAAGAGCTGAAGGCTCGCACGGTGTGGCTTGGGTGTCCTGAAAAGTGTGAAGAAAAATACCCCAAAAATGCCATAAAAAATCAAAAATACAACATCTTTACCTTTATACCTGGGGTAAGGCTACTAACAATTTCTTGGTGTTGGGCTGACTCTATGTTCTGTGGTGATTTTTGATAATTCATTTTTTCCCAGACTCTTGTTCTTTTTACATTAATTGTGGTGTCTTCACTTAAAATTGACAGTTGAGAGCAAAGCTGTTTTTTTTCTAAACTGTTTTGTTTTCAAAGGTATATTTACTAAAGAAGTGTGGTGTGTGTGATTGAATGGTTGGAATTCAGTGAGGCTTTAGAAATTTGAGATGGGTTTCGTTGCGCTCTTCTATTCATCATTGGAAATTTGTAATCCTCTTTATAAAGCACACCTACACAGTCAGTTGTGAAAATACTACAAAGCACTGACTTCAATTGAGAAATAAGTAGTTGAAAATTGCAATGTACTCCCATAGATATTTTCTCATACTCTCTGCCACTGAAAACATAATAAATAATGGAGTCTCAGACAGGCAACTCCTTAAAGGACAAAAACAACCCACCTCTTCAATTGATATGACAATGAGTAAAACCTAGTTTAGTAAACTAGTACTATTCAGAGCTGTATTTCTTATTGCAGTTTTAAAAAGTGATCTCTTTTGTTTTGAATACAGTTTTTCAGACAGTATTTTTGTTGTGGAGCGGAAGGGGTTTTTTTGTCACTTTTTTCCTAAGAAGCCATATTATGTCTTTAATTTCAATTTTTTGCCTATAATGCTCACAGTGTATGTAAAGACAAAAGAGACATCACAGTTTTGTCTCGGTCATACTTTAAAAAAAATTGTCATTATAATGAAATGTAGCAATAGAGAAGACAACTTTGGAATATTCAGTAGTTAAAACCTAAAAATGTGATGATATAAATCTTACTAATATGCTTTTACTCATAGTTTTAGTAATACCGTGCAAGAGTCCCGTGTCCCGTTGCAAAAACTGAATGTCTTCTACATTTGAATACAGACGTGCTTTGTCTTAAATTTTTTATTTAAGCGATCATAGTGGTTTATAAGAGTATTGATTCTATTCTGCTGGCCTCTTTGGTCCAATGACTGGCAGGTGCTTTCTAATACATTTCTTTATTAAAACAAAAAAATTAATGGCTTTGTAATTAAGACTGATCTCCTGTCAAAGAAATAAAATGTCACTTATCACAGGCGGATAAAATATTCTCATCTCTATTGAACGAAGTAAATGTTTTCTTCCGAAGTTTAAATTATTAAATACACTGAAATTGGTTAAGCCACATATGCTTTCCTAAAGGTCACACAATTCATTAAGCATACAGTAAGCCATTGATTATTGTGACTAGAAATCTGCAGTGTAGATTACAAATCCTAAACTAGATTCATGTTTCCTAGAGGGAACAGCCATAGCTTGTAATTACCTGTTGAGAGAGAGAGAGAATGTTTGTTCTTTTTTGGTCTTTTGAAAACCTTGGTTTGTACAGCGTAGGCAAAATCACATTTTTATTTTGGTGGTGGTGTTCGGAAACTCAGTAACTTCAGAATGAGGTGAGATCCTAAACACAAAGCCAGATAGTTGGTGCAAGTAAAATAGTTTTAAATTCTAATTATGGACACAAATTAACACTTTTTGTTGACTAGAGATACTGTGTACCTATCTGGTTTTATGCTGTTCCTCTAGAAGTAATTTGTGGGGAGCGTAGTTGTATTAGTTCCAAGCCCATAAATACAACTAACTCCAATTGACTCCAATGACTTACCCCAGTTGAAATTTTCATCATGTTTTTATCTTTTTCTTCTTTTTTTAATGTTGCAGCTAGCAGTGGGTAATACCAAGTGAGTTCATATCAAAACAGAAGCTTAAAATAATGTTTAGATTAACAGAATTTTACTTTCTGGCTAAAAGAAACATTTCCAAATCTAATTTCCTGACACTTAGATAAAATGCTTACTACTGCTCCTTTTACACCACTTTGTTCAATTTCTGTTTACTGTTTCATATACGTCTTGGTGCAGCTGCTTAGGAATTTGTGTAAATTTCCATCAGGAATATCTTCTGTGATGGGCAGGTTTTTGAGATGCTTCTCCTGAGCTTCAAAGCAGTAGTCTATTTTTTATCAGTTTTATGTAACTGGAGACTTTTGAATCTGCTTGACTGGACTGCAGTGTTTCGCTGTGTGCTGAATGAACTGTCAGTGGTCTGCCAGGGTACCAAAGATTTGTAGGAAGGTGCTTTTTGATTCCCACCTTCTGCAAGATGGGTGCTCTTGGAGATCTGCACCTCGCAAAGTACCCCGTGGACTTTTCTTTGACCGGGTGTACCAAGCCTCTGTGAGCAGCTAAACTTACTGCTAGAAATGAATATATGAACTTCATCGATACTGATATAAGGTACCGGTTCCAGCTGAATTCGTTTCACTGTGGAAGAATGCTCTGACTTCCCCTGCAACTTCAACTTAGACTTTTTTGGCTTTACAGTTGGGGTGGTAAACAATGGAATAGAATTCCATGCTTTGGAAAAAATGTGAGGCTGTTCAGGTAGCCTTTAGCTGAACAGTAACATAGCACTCTTGCAAGGAGCTGTCAAGTTTGAGGTACTGCCTCTGTGTTGTGCCTGCCAGAAAGACACTTTTAACTTCCCTGAGTGTTTTTTCCTAAGCATAGGTTTTACATATTTGAGTAATAATGTTGGACTGATAAAAGGAATAAATATTTGTCCAAGAACTTTGATTTTCATGTGGAAGTCACAGTAATATTAACTGAATTGTGAGATTAAAAGGTGGAGACACTCTTTAAATGGGTCTTTTTGATCTATTTTGAACCTTTTGGCTTTGAAACAATTGATTATCTGTTTTCTTAAGTCTCAATATCCCAAGGTCAGTAGCCACTTCTGATCCTCCTGCTGGAGGTGCCAGGTGGTCCTGGCCTACTGAAGAAATATGTGAAGTCTTTGAATTCAGATTCAAAACTCTGTAAAATGACTAATATTCTTTGCTTTGGTTCTAATTACAACGCAATGTTGAGAACATTTGCTTGCTCAAGTGGTGCTTCTAATTACCAAAGGGATCTCTACATCTGTCATTCCTTTGGAATATGGGACAATGGGTTCTGTGATAAGGTTACTGTATCGTCACGTAAAACTTGGACAATTATCTTGGAGTTTAGACCAAACCTTTGATTTATTAATAAGCACATGCACCAATATTTATTGCAAAATAATATTTTGAGCAATTGAATGCTGAGCATTTCTTCTGAATTATTTCAAAAGCCCATGTTACTCTGTTGCAAATTTTTTGTAGTTTAAACTGTCTGAAAGCTTAAACTGTGGTTGCTTTTGTAAAAGGTTTGTCTTGCTGTGGAAGCTGAAGAATATTGCCTTAGAAATTCTGGGGTTTCCACACGACAGCCATTTGGAAAGAGAGCAGGGTCGCTTACCCTTACTCACTGGATCTTTTCTGTAGTGTTCATTTTATCTTCCTAAACAACACTTATTCTTGAACATTGAGTAGTTTCATAATTTCTAAGAACAGTGGGAAATGGTAATTTTGAAGGAGTGGATCAGATTTGATGGTGGCCTTTGTCCCTTTGAGAACCAAAGGACTTCAGAAGGAAGGCAGAGGAGTTGTAGGGCTTCCACTTGTGACAGAGGAGAAACTTCAGCGGCTGCCTTGAGGAGAGTGGGCTGAGGAAACGAACGTACCGAGGAGTTCCTGCGTGCTGCTTTCTGTGTGTGCCGCAGGCAGGGTGCAGGTTTTGGGCTGTTCTCATGGTGGTGCAGAGCAGCGTGGTGTAGCCTGCTCAGTTCTGTTACTCTGTAGAGGTTCAAATAACAAAGACTAGGGTAATATTTTTGTAAATAGTTTCTGTTCATTTGATACCAATATTTTTTTTAGTATGAAAATTTTTGAGGAAAAAAAGACATTGAGATGCATAAAACAGAACTTAAGTATTAGTACTTAAGGAAAAAATAAGATTTACTTTTAATGCTGTATTTTTAGGAAGAAAAGTTTTAGCAGTTAAAAATGAAAACTTGATGTAAGCAAAAGAAGTTCAGATACTTAAACTTATTTTGCCTTTTTTATTGATACTATAAAAAAATTTTCTAAGAACTTAACTATTGTGGATTTGAAATTATGGCAAGATGCTTCTACAGACATCTGAATTCTGTTTACTGTTAAAATTTCGGAGTAAGTCTTTGCACAGTGATCTTGATATAGGTTTAATATTTGTAAAGATTGAGTTCACATAGTCCAGTTTTCAAAATATAAAAAAATTAGCAAATTGCTTTTCTGGAGTGAAGAGGTATTAATATCAAAGGATTTTTCTCAGTAAAAATAGCAGTTTAATATCAAAATGACTTACAGTGTGTGTAGTGGTTTGTGATCACATGTAGCATATTGTGCTGTACAGTACTGTACTAGTACCGTCTCTAATAGTATGCCGTGAATGGTTTTATGTCTACTATCATGAAAAAAAATGTATGTTGTGGGTTCAAATTTTAAGGCATTTCTCTATTTTTTGTGTCTTCCATTTTAGGTTTTATATGAACAGTTCAAGTTTTTCTTGAATCTCTATTTTCTCGTCGTGTCCTGCTCACAGTTTGTACCAGCATTGAAAATAGGCTACCTGTACACGTACTGGGCTCCTCTGGTAAACAGAACAATCCTATTAACTGGGAGTTTGGGGTTTTTAACTTCAGAGGAAAAGTTCATGTATATGTACATCTCATAAATTTGCATCTGGTAAACTGCAGTGGTTAAAGTATGCAATAGAAGTAAAATGCGTATTTGAAATGGCGGTGTTTTACAGCAGAGACTCCAGAAGCTGGTGTTTGACAGCCCTCCCTTCCACCTGCCTGCTGGGCTCCTGCCCTGCAGGCCGGAGGTTGGTTTTGTTCACTAGCTAGTCTGAGCGAGTAGTCTGGCTGCTGGGCACTTGAGGGTTTTTAAAAAAAAAAAAGAAAAAGGCAACAAAACACAAAACAAACAAATGAAAAACCAAACAAAAACCCAAACCAAATAAACCTCCAGCTTGTAGAGGACCTTATTTGGTAACAGGTAATTTGTATGTTACATTTCTTTTAGTTTATTGTTATTTGCTCATTATTTGATTATTTTTTTTTTCAGGCCATGTCAGAAATGAAAGCATAAATTTTTTCATTCCTTCTGTG